AGAACAGATAATGACCATCTTTGGGGTACTATAACCCCCCCCCCACACACACACACACACACTTCTCTTCTCAGGGCTAAAGACATCAGCTCCCTCAACCTCCCTTTGTGCAACTTGAGTTTCCAGTCCCCCAAACATCCACAATGCCCTTCCCTGGACATGTTCCAATTAATCTGAATTTTTCTTTAATGTTGGTTCCCTGGGCTTCTGACAGCAATAGTGGTTTGAAATCTTTTTTGACTTGCAATGCCTGAGATGTTTGGCCTTCAAGGCAAAAGCTTGGCCAGGATAGAAATGTAATTACAAACTTAGCATAATATTATAAAATGTACTGTTATAACTGTGTTCCAGGAATACTTAAGGGGCATTCAGGTCTTTCTCTTAAAACAGGATAATCTCTATCTTTATACAGGCTTTTGTTGGGGTGGTGGGAGAGGAGGGAGATTTGTAAAAGTAGAATGTTCTATAAAAGACCAAGTTCTGGTAAAGATAGCTATGAAGCATCACCTGATCAAAAATATACAACAGTGGTTGCAGAATGAGAAGCAAGATTGCTATTTTTTTTCCCCCCTCACAAACCTTTGCTGAGTCAAAATCCTTTTCTTTCTCCCCAGGAAGAATGTGTCTTCTAAACAGACTTCTAAAATGAGAGTTGCAGCTTGCCTCCACAAGGATTTTTGGCTGGGGATCTATGGCAAGGATAAACCATTAACCAGCTTCATCTGATTCTTCAGATGAGAGGAAGTAAGGAGAGATTATGATCACATTTCTGAGCACAAAAGGAAATGATAGGCCAAAGAATGAAAAGTGGAATGACATATTTCACAAATAATGCTGATAAAATATTTTACAGTATTAGCTAACTTAATCATTCCCTCCCTGGTCCTTTAAAGTGCAGTCTTTCTGACTTTGGGTCAGATAACAGAGTTAGACAAAATGCCTGAGCAGTGCTCTTGAATTTTCTTAATTAACCTGGTTTTCTTCATCCTTCCCTGATTGTTTTCCCCTTCCCCCATTTAACCCATCCCCAAATCAGGCAGGCAAACCTTCAGAATGGAAGGTTTCCTGCTGGGTTTCCTTTGTATTTGTTTAACTTCCTCTCATATATTAGTTATGCAGTCTTGGGAACCCAACCCACCACAGAAGAGGGAGCCTGAGAAGTGACTCAGGAGCTGAAGGTGTATAATTCAAAATCCTCAAGCTTGGGGAACAAAATAGGTCAGAGTTGCTGGGAGACTTAAAGAAGAGAGAAAGCAACAGTTCACAGGGAAGGGAAGAGAGTCAGCTTGCTAAAAAGCCAAGCTACTCACACTTGCATGAGGAGACTGAGGACAAGTTTCTATGGCCTGGCTCTTCTCATGCCAGTTGAATTAGGCCAGTTGATCTTTTATTTAAAATCAAGACTGCATTGTTAGAGTTGTTGCATGTCAGTCTCAGGGAAAATACATTTTCTGCTTGGCTGGCTTATGGACTAATTAACTAAATTTCCAAATCGTGTGACTAGTGGTATCCAGCTGAATGAATGAGAAGTCATTTGCAAGTAACTGAAAAGGCAACAGATTCACTGCAAACACTGAATCAGCAATCCTCTAGCCATTTATCTGGGAGTAATCCACTAAGGCAATGTTTCCCAACCGCAGCAACTTTAAGATGTCTGGACTTCAACTCCCAGAATTCCTCAGCCAGCATGAGACTTGAAGCCCACACATCTTAAAGTTGCCAAGGTTGAGAAATACTGCACCATTTGACCTTGGTTTAGATTCCAAAGCACTAAGTAGGATTGGGAAACCACCAGGAAATAAGAGGGGTCTAGGCTAGTCCAAGAATTCACCACCACCACCTAAAACAATCCCATAAGAATGCAATGGCAAATCACTTCTGCCCTGTTGCCAAGAAAATTGCATGGATATATCCTTGAAGTAACCAGGAATCAAACTTGACTTGAAGGCGATCTTACTTTGTAAGTCCACTGAACTCAACTGTGATGCAATCAGTTTACTTGAGAGCAACTCTTATCAAGCTCAAAGAAAGTTACTTTTGAGTAGGCATACATACAACTGCACTATATGTGTCACAATTATATTCTGGTTTAACTAACAGCTATTAACAGGCAGGACAACCATCAAGACGATTACAAATGAAATATACATGAAATATTTGAAACAATGCAAGTCCTGTGTTTAAAAAATGGGACTAGCACACTCTTGCTAAGCATGGAAGATTGATTTAAACAAGGCTTGGTTCTGTCATCAGTGGGTACAATGGAGAGTGTCTGCTCCTTCAGTCAGCCAGAGATTATACCTGGCCATACTTTTTACTGATTTTGTTACTTGTGTAGGGGGAGGGGGAACTATTTCACCCACTGCTATGTCATTTAGCCTACTCTAAGGGCCATTTCTGGGTGCTGCCAGCCATGGTCAATCCCTTGCAACACTAATCAAGTCTAGAACTCCCTGACCACTATCCCCTCTTGCCCCTGCCCCTCCTCCTGCAGGGAGGTGCACCTGTAGCTTGTCATCTGGGCTGATTTTGACACGTATTTAGTGCTATTTCAGAAGAATACTAGACCCGTGTCCACAAACAGCTCAAATGACAGAGCACCTCTGCACCTCCAACCTGTTAGTTGAGCAAATTGACAGGTGGTTAAATCAGCTTTTATGAGCACATGCACCCCATTTTTCCCTCTCCCAGTTCCAGAAGAACAGTGCTGCTGTTGTTTTTTCTGCAGGCAACAGTGACACTTGGTGAGAGGGGAAGAAAGCAAAGGGGATCCACCAATTACTTTTTCCTGCATGAAAACAGTAAGACAGGAGCATTTGCCAGCCTCAGTATGGAGGTGAATTAGGGAATCAACATCAGCAATAAGGGAAGTGCAATTTATGCTGGCATACTTTTGTGCCAGCTCACAGACTGGAGGAAAGCACTTCAATGCCGCCATCTGGCAGTACCCTGAATTAAACTATCATTACCTGAACAATAATGAAGATTTGGCAGGGACTTTCAAAACCTAGGTGCAATCACTTAGCTTGGACTATATCTCACCATAGTGAGGAAGAGGATGAATTTTGTGCCTGCTCCATGCTCTCCTTGCTCATGATTCTTTATCTTTAAGCTGGATCACCCTTCAGCCAGAGAATGCCTTCAAAGGGAAGACTAGCCTCTGTAAAGTAGGACACTTGGATGGCTAAACTAATCTGTAGAAGATAAAAGTGCCTTTTCACAGGAAGATCCATTGGAAAGCCAAACAGGAAGTAGCAGCGAGATGGAACTGCTTCAGATAAGAAGATAGGCAAGATGCAAAAAGGACAGGATTCATCCACCTCTGATTCTTCCCCACAAGAGGAAATTTGGGCAGGCCTAATCTGCATAGCCGGCAGGGACAACTGGCACTCATCTTAGATGCAAAAACAGCAGCGTCCTACAGAATGGGTGCCAATATCATCAGTGTCAATCCCACCATGAAGATGCCCAATGAGTGCAACATCTTCTCTGCATTGCTGCAGCACCAGATGGAATATTTGCTAGCTATGGCAGCTTTCCCCTGTCCTAAGGGGGGGATATGACTTCTACAACCATTTACGATGCCGGAGATTGGCCTTCTTTTGCATATGGCCATCCTAGAATGTGGTAGTCCTGACACCGACTGGATCTAATAACAGTTACCAAAGCCTTTCCCATTCTGAAAGGCACAGACAAGAAGAGCAGACAGATGCCGTTCTCAAATGCAGCTATCTTTTGGGTCCAAACTTAGATTTTGCTGTGGCTAACACGGTTATAACACCAGGAGGACATTTTTTAAATAATATATCATCGTTTATTATAAAACAACAAAAGTGTACAGAACATTTAACAAAGAGTCCTAAAAATCTAGAATTATTATAGGATCTTTAATGCAAAACAATTCACATCATTAAATTAAAGGCAGCATATAGTATTTTAACGTATTATAGAACCCTTGTTATATAAACTGGTATGAATTTAAGTTAAAAACAACTGATAAGGTCTAAAGTGTTATAAAATAAGTTTTTTTCATTCAAAAGTCTTTAATAAATTTCACAAAATAGAGACTGATTATGAAATGTACATTTATTATCTAATGTTTATTTTAAAGCAGAATTTCGGATTATAAAAAATAGCCAGTGAATTTATGAGTGCTCATATTTTTATTTTTTTTATGATAAAATTATAGAAAACAATTTGGATGTAAGCCCTGTTCAGCCCTTCAGAGTGCTGCAAATATTAGACTTTGTTCCAGTCTACATTTTTTGTTAGAACTCCAAAACAAGGCTTCATCAGATAGAAGGCAGCATGACATACCAGACACAGCAGGAGAGTTCACAGGGAGGGGCAAAGAAGTCAAGATGGAAGCCACAACTGCCATCTTGACTTTTTGGACACCATCACCATGCAGACCCCAACCCCAGGATGTGGCCAATGATTTCATCCTCCATCATGGACATTGGCAACAGGTCCTGCAGCAACTTCTCTACTCTGCTCCAGCAGGGGGAAAGGTGCCAGCTCATTTCTGGGCACATCCTAGGAATCCTGGTTGCTGCTTCTAAGCTCTGTATAGGTTGCATGGACTTACCCATCTCTTGCATCATCTTGCTTGGAGACTCAGTGGATGACTGAGCAGAACTCCATTTACAGTGGTTCCTCTAAACCCCACACTGTAGGCCATTCCCTGGGCTAGTGAGCCTGGGTGTTATTTGACCAGGCTTTTCAGCTGACCAGATTGCTCTTGCTTTGGCATTTTTATTGCTCTGTTTATGTCTCTTTTTTTCCTGTGTTGCTGCAGTTTTATTTTTATTGTTTTATTCCATTGATGTTTGTAGTTATCTGTTAACTCCCTTGGGGCTTTTGAGCAGAAACACAGTGTAAACAGTTGCTCTGAGTGTTTTCTAACTAAAAGAAAAGGGGGGGGGGGAGCAAGATTAATTTATTTAAGATAAAAAGAGAAATATGTTAGAGGAACAGATCATGTCTACGTAATAGTCCTCTAATAAATGAAAATAAAGCCAATTTAAATAGGATAAAGCAAGAATCAATCAAAATCCCATCTATTCTACATCCACCATTCTTTATCTGCTGACTTTCTCTGATTTTGGAACACCAAGCTGTTATATACTTGAGATGGGTGGCTATGCAAACCTAAGTAATAAATTTATAAAATAAGCTGTCATGAGAAATTCTTTTCAAGTTCATAGGCAAAGATACACATGTATAGACACACACACACTCTATATTGTTGGCTATTTTTTCCAGGCTTCCTTGAACTTTGGTTCTCCTGGAAAATACATTCTACTCTTTTTCCATTTTTTTTTCTTTTTATTTAAGTCAGGTCCAGCTTTTCAAAGGTTATCTTTGTGTAAATACATATACATGTATCCTTTAAATAGGCCATTGCTAAAGCAGCCAGGTGTACCTTCATTATTATATCGGACTGGGATCCTAATCCGTCTAGTGAGGAAAGGGGCCCTTTTGAATGATCAATGCCCAGCATGATTTTATCCTTTGAAATGCTGCCTTTTCTCCCCTTAAATCTGGCTGCCAGTTCTCACAGGCCAAAATGTAAAACAGGGCTGTACTCCAGCGAGTAAATGATGTAATTATGCCCAGTTGTTACAAGGCACAGCTTTCACCAGCAGAATGGGAAGGGAAGGGTGCTGGAGGC